TGTAATAATGTTCCATTGCGCACACCATACTTTATCCAGTCATCTGGTCCTCCACGATGGACACTTACTTTGCCTCCAGGTTGTGTGGTGAGTATTGCTGCAGTGCCGTGGGCGTGCCCAGCTCTTTGGGGCATGTTTACAGTGTTTTCTTTTCTTCGGCTGTTTGCCCAGAGAGTTGCTGGGCCATGTGATAGTTCGGTTTTTAACTTTTTGAGGAGTCTTTGTTGTTCTCCATAATGCGTACACTTTCCTTTGTTCTGTCTCCAGCCCTTGTGATCTGTTTAATGATAGCCCTTTCATTGTGGTTTTACGTTTCCCTGAAAACTGGTGGTGTTGGGTACATTTTCACGTACTTGTTGGTCTTTGGGAAAATGTCTGTTCAAGTTCTCTACCCTCTTTTAATTAGATTATTTGAATTTTTGCTGTTTAGTTGTATGAGTTCCATATGGATGCTAACCCCTTATCAGATATATAATTTGTAAATGCTATTCTTACGTTAAATTGGCCAGAGATTTAGAGGTACTAAATTTCTGAATTAGGACAATTATTGGGAAAATCTTATTTTTAATGTAGTTTATTTTTAATGTAATGTTATTTTTAATGTAATTTCTAAATATCAGATGGACTTGATGTGTAAAAACATATGAACCTGAGCGCTACTTGTTCACTTTTTTCTCCTGTAAGTAACTCCTTGGGTACTGTGACGGCCACTTGTTTTTTCCTCACAGATTTTCCGGAAAGATCCACATAATGTTATCAGGAAGTTTAATAATGTCGGAGTGATCGCACTTCTAGTTGCAAATTCTTCTTTCGATGACTACACAAAGTGAAATAAAGAGTTTCTAACCAGCTTACAGTGAGGTCTCCAGAAAAATGACTTTGATCTGTTTTTCTTGTTTGTCTTATTTTAAAAACAGTAGCTATTGGGAAATACTCAAATTTTTCTGCTTTTGATTCACTGTTCTTACTTGACACCTATGTGTAGATGGAATTTCATCTTAGAAACTACTTGGTTCGCTTGTGGTTTTGGTGTTCATATATTTTGAATATGGCGTAAGTATGAATATTTTGTTGCCCATCACAGAGCACCGTGATTCGTTTCTACAATTTATACACGTTGTAAGTCAAAGGTAGCCTTCCAAAATTTATACCTTTTTCTGCTTCTCTTTCTTTGTCCTCATCTTCCTCCCCACAATATCCCTTCAGTGCTGGAGACTGAACCTGCTGCCTTTGCCCTGAGCTATGTCTGCAGCCCTTTTCTCTATTTTGTTCTGAGGCAGGATCTCGATAAGTTGCTACATTGTCCAACCTGTGCTGTGCTTAAACTTCCTATCCTCCTGTTTCAGCCTCCCCTAATGCTGAGATGCCAGGTGTGTGGTATCATGTTTTGCTTCAGTTTACACTTTCTAGTGGGAACGTTACAACTGCTGTTAAGAGACATATGTGTGAGTGAAGATAGAGGACTGTAAAGATGATAGGTGCATGTGTGAGGGAGTGTGAATTGATCAAAAGGGAG